TGGCCGCGCGCTGACACCGCGGAGGGGCTGGGCGGGCAGCGTCCGCGGAGGCAGGCCTGCGCCTGGGCTAGAGCCTGAGGCCACCCTCTGCGCGAGGGGAAGAACCCCAGACGGGGAAGCAGGGATTCTAGCCTGGGCAGCCTCGAACCAGTGTCTGTGCATCTCAGGCCTCACGGAATTCCTGGACCTGGAGAGATGTCTGTCTGGCGGATAGGTCCGAGGTCTCAGGCAGCCCTCCTGCGCCTCCCGGCTGTTCATCTGGCCAGCTCTTAGTGATCTGTTTCATTCATGGTGAATCGTTATGGCCTGCACCCCAATTCCCGGACGTGCTGTGCACAGTTTTGAATTCTTGATGCAGGCATGGTCTATGTATAGGGTGTGAGTAGAACCACCCCGGGTTGACTGGCAACCAAACCCTGTTGCAAAAGTACAGGTTGTTGAGAGATTGAGTGAGGTCACCTCAGTAAGTGATCAATAAATACTAGCTCTTATAGTTCTCAAATCCTCACACCTCTTATAAACAAAAACTACAACAGCAAGGGTCTGCCCAGTTAACTACCTACTCATCGAAGTCGTTTCTGTCCAAGGTGCTTATGACCTCAGCAAGTGCCTCCATTTCTCTGGAGTCCAGCTTTGGGAATCATTTGTCATAGATTTACATGCTGTCATTTCTAGATTTTTTTTTCAGAGGTTTCTGTCTTAGGGTGCCTGTGCTCTCCAGAGAGAGAGAAACAGAGACAGAGACACTAAGAGGTAAAGTGAGAAATCACCACCACCACCCTCACCCCCCACCCCATCCCCAACAGCTGCAATGTCTTCTCCATTCTCCAGGAATCTTGTGTGCACGCGCGCGGGCGCGCGCGCACACACACACGCACACACATACACACACACACACACACACACACACACACAGGCCAGACATGAGTTTCAAGCCACCAGATCTTGGATTTGAAGCACAGTAGTCCTTGAAGGAGTCCAGCAACACAACCAATGAGCCATCTGCTCGCTCCCTTAACTATTTTTTTTTTTAAGTACCAAGAAGACTGGACCATGTCCTGCATGTTTTTTTTATTAGTTAACTTTATTTATTAGTATCATAATCTTTTTTATGTCACATAGAATCAGTTTACAGTGTATCACACTTCTTTTTCCTGCAGGAATACCATGCATATCAGTCAAGAAAAAGACATTACAATACACATCATCATCATCAAAGAGCTTTTCATGAGTTTTTTCAGACGATTATTATTATTGTCTTTAAAAAACCATTCAGTCACTATATACCATTTGTGTGCCCTGCATTCTTATCTCTTAACACTGTGCTGTGTACATATAGTAAGGTCTTAGAAAATACAAAGACAAAAAATAGTTTAATCTTTGAAGTGCTTCTTTACCTTCATAATCATGTGAGTTATTCAATATTACTGTAAAGCAAGGGGAAGAGATAAAATTAGCTGAATTTGCAAGAATGGATCTTAAGGCCCATGCACATAAAATGACCACAGATGACCATAATTGAAAAAGTGGTGGAAATTAGTAAAAGGAGCACAGTCCTGTGCTTGAGTTTAATTTCCCTTCAATTACAATACAAAGAGTTTCCCCTAATACCATTAGTTGGTAACTTATTCAGGCACTGCTTTGACTGCCTTCCTTGATCACACTGGGTTGTTTTGCATTTCTATGCTGCTTGGATTGATTAGGAGAAAGTCAATTGCTCCACCAAATGGAAATCTAGGAAGAAGCAAATCCAGTGAGTAATGTGAATCTCTAAGCTCTTCAAGCCCTTGCATTTTTCAGTACTGGTAAAGTATAAGAACATGTTGACCTTTTGCAGAGCAGTTGATTGTTTGATTAATAGCCATTGATTTTGAGCTGACATGCTAGAATGATGGGAAGCACCACTTTACCCAGGAAATAAGTCTGCACTGCCAATGGCCAAAGCTAGCACTAGATGAGTTGCTTTCAAGTTGTAAAGAGAAGCCAGTCAACGGCTTTTAAAAACATAATGGTCTGTGAATTTTATATAAAATGCATTGACTAGAAAAATAACAAAATTCCAAATATATAAATGATTTCATATTTAAAAATCACTTTGGGATTATGTACAAAACCACAGTGGTAAAGAAATAAAACTATATACCTTTGCAAAAAAGATGTACGTTTCAGCTTCTTTATAATCTTTATATGTAATTATGGGACTATATTGTGTTTTCTTTTAAGTACCTGTACTCACAACTTGAGTCATTTGACTTATTCTTTGGCATAAGCTTATTACAAACTTTATGTCACTGTTTAGTAATTTTGTTATAATATGCTTTTGTTTTGTTTTGTTTCTGTAGAGGTTTTTGCCTTAGATTGTGTGTGCTCTCAGAGAGGGAGAGACAGAGACACTGAGACAGAATGTATGAAATCATCCCCCAGGGGCGATGGCCAATGCCACAGTCACCTGTCCTTCATTCTCCAATTGGGATCTTGGGCACACAGGCCCACATACGTGCACCCAGCAAGTGTCTGAAACCACTGGGTCCGGGACTCAAACCAGGGTTGACCATGTGGGAGTGATGTAAACTCTATCCCAACTGTTGTTCCCATTATAATATGCTTTTGCTGAAACTCTTTAATCAAATAATAACAATGATTCTTTAATTTGCTGTTATGAAGATAGTAAGTTTAATTTAGGATAAATGCAGCATTAATTAAAAAGGATAAATTCAAGTGGCAGTTGAATTTTTCATTTAGTTGAATTTTATTGCACAAACCATTGGAGAGATTAAATCTGAGTCTCATTCTCAAGCATCCAAGGCTTTGTGAATTTCACATGGAACTGACAAGAATAAAGAATAAAGCAGGTATGCTGGAAATTCTTCAATTCAGAAATTAGTTTCAAGAGAGTTAATAAGGGTCATGTACCATTTAGAATTAGATGTACTGTGTATTAGGAGAGATGTCTCCTCCACAGTCCATTTGGGTCTTTAAAAAGTTAGAAAGAATTGTGGTTAAAAAGTGAATATTAAATTTATGTTATGGGGGACAAGCAGTTAGCGTAATGGCTATGTCGCTGGACTCCCATGTAGTCAACTGCGGTTTGAGTCCTGGACCCAGCAGCTTAAACTCATGCCGGGCATATGTGCATGCATGCTCAAGATCCCGAGAGGAGAATGGAGGAGAAGGAATTGTGGTGTGGCCATCCCCCCTGGGGGGTGATTTCTCGCTTTCTGTCTCTCTGACCCTCTCTGTCTTTCTGGCGAGCGCATGTGCCCTATAGCAAGAAAACCTCTCCAAAAAAATTATATTATGGAAATAAAGTGACTCAAATTTGTCTTCTGTTATTCTAGATATAATTATTATATTCCTATGTGAGTTTTAGATTTATCAACATAATTTTTCTACCTCAGTGAGTTCTCATCATATTTATTATTTCTCTTTCACATGTTTTAGCATCTTTTCACTAAATAGACATTTTGTGAGTGAGAACCACTTTTTTATTACATCTCCCTATAGTACCTAACACAAGTGTTTAACACTTGTTTGCTTGATAATTATGGAATTTGATTTTTGAGTTCAGACTCTGTGATTCCTTCTTCAGGATTAAGTTGATGGGACCAGCAGTTAGCATAATGTAAAGTAAATTCATTTATATTTTTAAATGATCATTTTAGGGGACCTAACTATTTTATGACTTATTTTTAAGAATCTTTCCAGTGCTCCTCTTTATTCTCAGTCCAGGCAAAGATGAGTTAGTGAAAACACTTATCATGCTATTTATTACAGCATCAAATAAAGAGTCTCATTGGGCTACAAACTTTGCTTTTATGCTTTGACACTTACTAATGTAGATAACAGGAAAAAAAATGGGTCAATTAAAGTAGATCTTCTGTATAACCCTGATACAGCATTACTATTAATAGTAGTTGTTAACATAGTACTGATGGTCATATTTTGTTTTAAATACTTAGAAAATATTTGGTTTCTCAGCAACATTAATATTTTCCTACACTATATGAAATGTGGGTCTTGGTAAAAAAATTTTAAGAATTATTTATTTATTTATTTATTTATTTATTTATTTATTTTCAATGTGCTCACAGAGGGACAGAACACATGGACAAGTGTGCACGCTAAAGAGAGAGAGAGAGAGAGAGAGAGAGAGAGAGAGAGAAAGCAAGTCACCAGGTTTGAGACTCAAACCATGGTCTACCCTATGGGAGTCCAGTGCCCTTCACTACCATGCTACCTGCCAGCCCACCAGAAAAGAAAAAAAAATTAGCACCAGAGGGTGCATTGTGCACCAGAGAGAGACAGTGAAAGCACTCCTTCCCTATGGGGCCTGTTCACGCCACAATCCTTTTTGTTCCTTTCCTCCATCCTGTCAGGCTCCTGGGCATGCACACACATAATCATGAAGTGTTTTGAAGCCCCTGGGCCAGGATTCCAACTTCAGTCAGTCATGTGGGATTCTACTAATTATGTACAGCAACGAAACTCTCTGCCTCAGAACTAGTGGGTCGAGGCCTTGTAATTGAATATCTTATTCTATTTTCTGAAATTATTAGAATCTTATTTGATGTTTCAAAATCATTTTTAACTTCATCATCAACTTGATTTTTTTTTCTTTTTAAGAGATGTTTTTGCTGTAAGGCACATGTGGTTGGCCAGAGAATCAAAGAAAGACAGACAGAAAGTGAGATATTACCCCT